CTAACTTAGGAGTTTTGTACCTGGCTTCATATCAACAGGTAAGGCAAGGGGAAATTTTGGAATTGTTGGGGGTTTATGAGGCGCATTGTAGTCTAGCTTACAAAAGAATATCACAATGTAAGGATTTAACATGGAAGTGGAGTAACGTAATCGATCAGGATTATGGGGTAATAGAATTAAAAAGGTTGAAAACTCCTCGGGTAAGGATACGAATTGGAGTTTTACATCCAACTTTTCCTCATCTGGTGTGTTAAGTAAGGGCAACGGCCTCCTCTTGTTAAAAGTCAACTGTCGAGTGGTTTTAAACTTATACAGGTTGCAACACACAAGACATCTGTTTATTACCTGATCCTAACACCAAGACAATATTAGCAGTATGGTGTTGAAGCCGATATTCAAATTCACTTAAAAAAAAATCTGCAAAATTCGATTTACCAAGAATATATTTTAAAGATCATTACATATGTTGTAGAGTTCACACTGAATCGTTAGAACGACAGAAAATATGCAATATCGGTGTTTGAAGAATCAATTTATTAGAATGTGTTTTAAAGTACTAGCGACTTCACAATGTCAAGCTATTACGACCTTCATCTTATAGTTCAGTAGGTAATATCTAGACATTGTGAAGATGGTATGGAATTAAAATCAGTACAAGTTAAACAATTCAGTCCAATGTATGATCAAATCGGTAGTACTAACTGTAAAGTAGTGGTTTCCTATCAAACTATGGTGTCTAACTAGCTAGTAGACTGCTTGGTACAATGACAGTTTTCTGAGACTAGAACATACCAAAGTATCGTGTCGAACTAGCTAGTGGATTGATTGGTACAATGATAGTTTTCTGTGGTCAGAATGAGACTAGAGCATACCAAACTATCATGTCTAACTAGCTAGTAGATTGTTTGATACAATGATAGTTTTCTGTAGTCAGAATGGGACTAGAGCATACCAAAGTATCGTGTCGAACTAGCTAGTGGATTGATTGGTACAATGACAGTTTTCTGTGGTCAAAATGAGACTAGAGCATATCAAACTATGGTGTCTAACTAGCTAGTAGACTGCTTGGTACAATGACAGTTTTCTGAGACTAGAACATAGCAAACTATCGTGTCTATCTGTCTATTAGATTGCTTGGTATCATGTTTTTCTGTAATACTGATGGAAAGTTCTAAACTATCGTGTGTACTGCAGGACTGTGTATCAAATGTGGAAGAAATCATTACTGTACCTGTATCACATTCGCAATAAGAATCACACAATTCCCCCTTCTGAGCTTTACCAACAACACATGTTCCTGTTTTGTGGGTATTAAAGAAAACAGGAGGTCCTGTAAAATGAATGTCAGGTTTTATAAATTACAAAAAACGTAGCTAATCTCAAATAATTATGTGTATAATCCCAATCAGCGTTCGAAAGCTCAATGATCGTGTTTGAGTCATCTTCACTCTTAACACCAGTCGACCCAGTTGTAAATAGGTACGTATAATCTAGGAATGCCAAGAGGTATTAGCTATGTATTCTATTGACCATTATAAGTAGGGTTGAAATTTTCTCCCCAAACCCAGAAAATGAATTAAGATTAATATTTATAACATAACACTAAGATATAAACATTTTATTGCACTGGCAAACTAGCAGCCTGTAGTCAAGATGGCGGAAGACTGACCACGTGACTATTTGCACGCGATAAGCATACGATGCTATTGCCGAGTTATAAACCACTCCTATACACATAGGATTCAAAGTAAACCAAGTACTAACGATCCAATCCGAACTGCAAGTTCTGCTTCATGAGACTCGGAATATGCATTGGAGAACAACAAGGGGTAAGAGAAGGTAATAGTAAGCCAACCTAGAGGGTAATGTGCATGTTTCCAGGCATAAACTGAAATAGCACGATGTTTGTCATCTCGACAACAAGAACCTTTACCACAAGCATTTGGTGACTGGCAAGTTTTTGTCGCTGATACTACCTGAAATAGACAACAAATATTGTTTCTTTGTTTTTTGGTTTTTTGGTTAACTGTGATAAATGAATAAGAATGTTAAAGATGGGTTTCCTTAATTTTTAGTTTAGAATTAAGCAAACTTCTTGAGACCGTGGTAATACAAGTGAGAGAAATTACGTATTCAAAGCTAAATAGTGTCTAATCCAATTTCTAGGAAATCAAATCCAATCCCTCGTCACGCCCACAAACCGACGTGTAGTGGGCTTAGTTTGATACGTCAAAACCTGTATTCGGGAAACGTTGTCAAGGTATAAGACGATGCGAAGAATATTGTTCCCATAATAATTGTCCTGTGTTTATTATACATAAATATTGCCGGTACAAAAGCATACATACGAGAACAGAAGATGAAATAAAATTAAGATTTATAAGACCCTTGGTTCCCAGCCTTTAAGTAACCCTACGTTAGGCTGACCATACAACTAACATGGCGACGTTGGTCAATGGCAACATCGGCTTTCGAGGGCTGTCGACATGAAGACGTCAACCAACATCGCGACGTCTGTCAATTAGCTATAAATAGACTGACGCCGCCATATTGACGTTCGTCGACGTCGCTATGTTGACGTTCGTCGACGTCGCTATGTTGCCGTTCGTAGACGTCGCTATGTTGACGTTCGTCGACGTCGCTATGTTGACGTTCGTCGACGTCGCTATGTTGACGTTCGTCGACGTCGCTATATTGACGTTTGAAATTACAAATCGCCATATTATATTAACTCGAAGTCTTTCAGGTAATCACTATGATATTGGTTCGTTCTCCAGAGTTTGGGATTAAAAGAAATTTACCTGAAGAGAAAACAGCACCTGAAATATAAAAATATCGAAATGATTAGAAGGATGGTTTATTACAACATTTCTCATCTTGGCTTGAGACACTGTCTTTAATAATATATAAATAATCTTCAGAATTAATGTACAAAAATATAAAAATATTTCTATTTCTTTATATATCTTTTCTACTTATGGCAGAGTCTTAAGAAATGACGAGTCGCTATTTTCAAAAGTCTTGTTATTCTGAAGGAAATTTGCACACTGAAGTTGAATAATACACCAAAGGCTACACGCGAAGGAAACCACTTCCTCGGTCCAAATTTATATAAAACCTACCGCAATACAAGTTAAAGCGAACGTCAAGTTAGCCATATTTGCCAAGTCGTCTCCTGGGTGTAAAATATTATATAATACTATTTATATATAAACAGAGATAAGATAAAAATACAAGGTTCAGTTCCTTAGACAAGCACGATAAGAAGACAAGCGTACCCAGGATTGCATTGACCTTGCTCAGTCGAGTGGCCCGCGTAACTTTACGAATGTAAGAGGACACTGGTCATAGTGGGAGTATTTATTTTGCTACTCCGCCATAATATAAATATAATATATATAAGTAACCAGGGTTGTCATCAAGTTTTTGGTAAAATGAAACACTTTTGATCCATTTTCGAGAGAACAAGGTGTCATTTAATCCATATTTATGATATAGACAATGAAAGTTGAGTGTCTTTACTTGACGAAGTATATTTCAAGGGATTTGGTGATTTGTTTGCAGTTAAAGACTATTTACATATACTCAAGACCCAAAATCAACCACCGGAAATAACGAACCACCATTGACTTTATAGAAGATTGGCACTGTTTAAAATAATATTCTGTTTATCAACAATTATTTTTAAATTCTGACTTTAGATATACTTCATTATTGTCTTTATCTTGTTGCCAATAAACAATAAAAACTACAATGAATAAATTGGACATGAAATTAACTATCACATGTCACAAAGGAGTCAAAAGGGGTCTTTGCTCCCCTTCCTTTATAGGCCCGAAGTCGTCACAATTAGTCGGAGACGTCAGTTATATGATGTTTTCTCAAATTTAGAAAAATTTCCAGAGGCCCTTTCCCCCATGACTCTCTAAGGCCCTCTAAAATTTGGGGGAGGGGCGTTTCAGAGAGTCCACAACTCAGCATCTCTTTCAGAGAGTCCACATAGCTAACAAAGTGTATTTGGTATATAAGTTTGTCAAAAAAAAAAAAATTCTTTCAGCCTTTTTTCCTCAAAAACAATTTTCCACGTGTGCTTTCCTGTTAATGGCTATTTCAATCATATTAGATGCAATTTGTATTGTATTTCATTGCTTGACAATAAGTAGACGTATTCTACCACAGCTGTTTCATTTTATACATATTAAAATACGGTTAATCTGTAACAATTTCCTTCATTGTCTATTTATTCTTGTAACAGCTTGTTTAATACCTAAATTATTGACGGATAATATCTTGTCTTAGCCCACGAAAATAACACCAGTTAGCAGTGATGTTTTTACAACCGGGCCCGGGATGCAAATAGCTAGACCAGCTGAAGACAACTTTAATAGAGCTCTATCAGATTGTTAAGTAAATAATCAGACAACTATATAGATAGCTCTATTGAATATAAACATAAATAGAGCTCTATCGGGTAATAACAGGTAGCTGAGGTTGAGCCCTATTGGCTAGTTACAGATAGCTGAAATAGAGCTCTATCGGCTAAATACAGATAGCATAAATTGAGCTCTATCGGGTAGTAACAGGTAGCTGAAATAGAGCTCTATTTGCTAGTTACAGATAGCTGAAATTGAGCTCTATTGGCTAGTTACAGATAGCTGAAATAGAGCTCTATCGACTAGACACAGATAGCTGAAATAGAGCTCTATCGGCTAGACACAGCTAGCTGAATTCAGCTCTATTGGCTAGTTACAGATAGCTGAAATTGAGCTCTATTGGCTAGTTACAGACAGACACAATTGAGCTCTATTTAATAGTTACAGATAGCTGAAATAGAGCTCTATCGGCTAATAACAGATAGCTGAAATAGACCTCTGTCGGCTAAATACAGATAGCTGAAATAGAGCTCTATTGGCTAGTTACAGATAGCTAAAATAGATCTCTATCGGCTAAATACAGATAGCTGAAATTGAGCTCTATTGGCTAGTTACAGATAGCTGAAATAGAGCTCTATCGGCTAATAACAGACAAACACAATCGGCTGAAGATTTTAATGTGAAGACTTAAAATTGGTTTTAAAACAATGTAGCCCCGTCCCAATCCATTGTATACATGAACGATCAATAAAGACTCTAGAGATTTCTAGCCTCGCCTATCATGTGTCACTGTCCCCCTTCTTTTAACAATTGATACGCATTATTTATAACATACCATTGTTACAATGGTGAGTGTGGCGCCGCCAGGGAATGCCTACTCTTCAGACACTTGATACTATTTTTCATTATGAATTACTTACTCACTTATGACTGATACATGTATATTTCCTCGTATGAAGAGTCCAGTAGCTGCTTCTAATGTATTGCCTATAGGTTATATTTTGATTTCGGGTTTCGTTTTGCATTTTTTCCAAGGAACTGCCAGTTGTGTGGCCATGTATTCTTGAAACGATCTTAGCGCTAGGATGTCCTAGAATCAATGTAGAAGAGAAGAACCTAGGACATCCTAGAGCTAAGATCGTTTCGAGAATAAGGGGCCTGGTCTCTTTGTACCTCAACACCAGTTTCCCTGTTTTACTGTTACTGTTCATTTTAAGTATTTTATATGTGTAGTCCCAGATCGCCAAATAAATATATTAAATTTATTTGTCTAGTTGTAAACTGCTTCATATGTTATTATTTAATTTCGGGTTTCGTTTTTTTCCTTATTTCATGTATTTGGGTGTTTTATTGAACGGCAGCTAAAATCGAAGTTATATGTTCATTATGATTTAGATGTAGTCAGTATTGGAGAATTTGTAAAAGAATGTATAGATTTCTCTTCATTTCACAATAGCCTTCATTCAGTCCTCGACTTCATTCTACTATGTCAGTATTAGGGTTTCAATGTGATCAAGGACTATCCTCATGACGATGTTATAAAGGAGTGATTTTAACAATAAGAAGTGATCGGTTTCCGCTATTCTGTTCTTGTTCTAATAATACAGTTTTTAACCAATTGTGAACATCAGAGAGTAGAAAGTCTACAATACGCTAGGAAAGAGGAAACATACAACGTAGAAAAAGGGTGAAATATAGAAAGTAGAAAATAGAAAAGTATTGTACAACGTTGGGAAAGTATCAAACTACAGTTGCAATTATTGTACAACGGTTAAAAAGTATTAAACTACGGTTGCAATTATTGTACAACGGTTAAAAAGTATTAAACTACGGTTGCAATTATTGTACAACGGTTAAAAAGTATTAAACTACGGTTGCAATTATTGTACAACGGTTAAAAAGTATTAAACTACGGTTGCAATTATTGTACAACGGTTAAAAAGTATTAAACTACGGTTGCAATTATTGTACAACGGTTAAAAAGTATTAAACTACGGTTGCAATTATTGTACAACGGTTAAAAAGTATTAAACTACGGTTGCAATTATTGTACAACGGTTAAAAAGTATTAAACTACGGTTGCAATTATTGTACAACGGTTAAAAAGTATTAAACTACGGTGGAAAGTAGAAAAAATATTAAAGGAGACTTGTAAACTTGTGAATGGTGAAAAAAAATATTGTATACCGTTGAAAAAAAGGTGCACGAAAATAAGCTTGATGATCCAGTGTCACAATGTTGGAAAAGTATAGAGTAATATACATGTTCACGCTTCCAAAACGTGTTTAGGATACTAAATCAATCGTCAATGCAAAGGAATTGAAATTGTAGTTGATTGAAATCCCAAATTATAAGAAACTGATGAACGTAGTGTATGAGATGTACGATAGTAAACTAATGTGTCCACTAGAGTTTTGATATATGTAGTGACAAGACTTGAATAGATTTAAAATGGTTCCTATAATGAAGAACAAGTTGCTAGTTCAGCTGATCATGTCGCTGGTTTTTTTAGTGTGTTTACTCGTCTTGTATAATTACTCTAAACTCAGGAGTTTTGTACCTGCTTCATATCAACAGGTAAGGCAAGGGGAAATTTTGGAATTGTTGGGGGTTTATGAGGCGCATTGTAGTCTAGCTTACAAAAGAATATCACAATGTAAGGATTTAACATGGAAGGAGAGTAACGTAATCGATCAGGATTATGGGGTAATAGAATTAAAAAGGTTGAAAACTCCTCGGGTAAGGATACGAATTGGAGTTTTACATCCAACTTTTCCTCATCTGGTGTGTTAAGTAAGGGCAACGGCCTCCTCTTGTTAAAAGTCAACTGTCGAGTGGTTTTAAACTTATACAGGTTGCAACACACAAGACATCTGTTTATTACCTGATCCTAACACCAAGACAATATTAGCAGTATGGTGTTGAAGCCGATATTCAAAGTCACTTAAAAAAAAATCTGCAAAATTCGATTTACCAAGAATATATTTTAAAGATCATTACATATGTTGTAGAGTTCACACTGAATCGTTAGAACGACAGAAAATATGCAATATCGGTGTTTGAAGAATCAATTTATTAGAATGTGTTTTAAAGTACTAGCGACTTCACAATGTCAAGCTATTACGACCTTCATCTTATAGTTCAGTAGGTAATATCTAGACATTGTGAAGATGGTATGGAATTAAAATCAGTACAAGTTAAACAATTCAGTCCAATGTATGATCAAATCGGTAGTACTAACTGTAAAGTAGTGGTTTCCTCCAAAGATAAGTACCATCAGGTGTTTAGAATAGAATAAGCATGGTCTGCGACACCCGTCACTACTACAATGGTTAAAATCATGAGATACAATCAGATCAATCCATGTTTAACTTAATAACACACTGTTATAAACAGATTGATCTGTCGTACTTAACAAGGAGTTTCAAGAAAATAGCCTTTAGGTAAAAATGCAAGGTATTAGACGTAGTTCGTAATAGCTTGACATCGTGAAGATATATAAGACGCAGTTCGTAATAGCTTGACATCGTGAAGATATATAAGACGCAGTTCGTAATAGCTTGACATCGTGAAGATATATAAGACGCAGTTCGTAATAGCTTGACATCGTGAAGATATATAAGACGCAGTTCGTAATAGCTTGACATCGTGAAGATATATAAGACGCAGTTCGTAATAGCTTGACATCGTGAAGATATATAAGACGCATTTCGTAATAGCTTGACATCGTGAAGATATATTAGACGCAGTTCGTAAGAGCTTGACATCGTGAAGATATATAAGACGCAGTTCGTAATAGCTTGACATCGTGAAGATATATAAGACGCAGTTCGTAATAGATTGACATCGTGAAGATATATAAGACGCAGTTCGTAATAGATTGACATCGTGAAGATATATAAGACGCAGTTTGTAATGGCTTGACATCGTGAAGATGTAAAACACGCAGTTTGTAATGGCTTGACATCGTGAAGATGTAAAACACGCAGTTTGTAATTGCTTGACATTGTGAAGTTAAAATCACAATATGTTACACCAGAACTTATATACAAATACTTGAGAAAAAAAAAATAGTCGATACTTTTCTTTATATTCATTGAATTGGAACAAAATTGATTTAGTTTATTCTTCCACGATTCATTGACCGTTTTTCTCTGAAGAAATACAACATCATTAAATTACTCGACACAACAAAAACTGTTCATATAGAGAGTCCACATAGCTATTATGTATTTTTATGATTTGATATTTAGGTTTGTCAACTTGACACTCTATTCAGAGAGTCCACATAGCTCATAATGTTTATTTGGTAATTAGGTTTGTCAACTCAGCATCTCTTTCAGAGAGTCCACATAGCTCAGTCCCGAAAGCAAGTTTTTCGGGCAAATCTCATAACTAGGTTAGAGATTCGGAATTTACCTGTATATCCTTTGTTTCGTGTTTTTGCCGTTGTCTTAACTAACTGTTGGTATGTATTTCAGATAAGTAATGTTCGCCAGTTTCATCAAGGAATTAATTCTCCATACATCGCAGATAATCAGAGAAACGATAGTGAGAAGCGGAGAGTCTCGAGTAAGTAGGTCTATTATGTAGAGTGTATATATCGAGATAGATTTAAAGTTGTCTATGCACGACCCAGGTTCTAATGAGACTGGTCGGGAATTCACCTGTGACACCGCCATGTAGTACTCTGTGGTTTTCAGCCTTCCCAACGTTAACATTACTAATGTAATCTATTTTACTTCCAGACCACTAGAGATGGAACCCCCACCCTGGGAAATATTGTCCTTCTCCGTTTACAATCTCCGTGTTAGAAACACACAGCCAAAGGGGGAGGGGGGGATAAGGGGGAGAGGGGCAGCCCCGAAAGCAAGTTTTTCGGGCAAAAATCTCATAACAAGGTTAGAGATTCGGCAATCTCAGATATCTCCCCCCCCCCCCCCTCCCACGGGCGTAAATCTGGCTCCGCCACTGACATATACAATTGCCAATGCCTCCGGTTTCTGGCGTGACAATCCTTACAATACAGCCCTAATACGCAAACATCTGGGATACCTCAAGCTTACCATGGGCCTTACTCTCATTTATCGTCTCTTTTGTTAACTTGTGAAACACCGCTCCTGACTACAAACAAAAGGAAAAACATACAACTTATTTATTTTTATTTTATTAATAAGCGTAGTAAATACTTGCTATTGCCGAAGAGTTGTAAACAATATAAATAATCAACATTAACACACAATAAGTAAAATAAATAAATTAATTTTTCAATGCTAGTAACACCTAGTAAATACATTAAGGAAAACGATCAAAATATATAAGTCTATATACAATATGTGCATGTTAGCCCAAATGGCAACTTAGCAGACGTTCAATTTATTCTGTTTTCAGACGACACTGAAGGAAAAGGAAGCAGAAAAGTTCGAGTCTTGTGTTGGATAATGACTCAACCAAAACAAAGTTCGGAGAAAAAATGTCAAGCTATCCGATCAACATGGGGCAAAAGATGTGACGTGCTTCTCTTTTTCAGTTCAAAACATGATTATAATTTCCCTATTATCGGACTCAACGTGTCTGAAGGGCGGAATCATTTAACCGGCAAAACAATAGCAGCTTTTGACTATATTTATAAACATCATTTTAACGACGCTGATTGGTTTATGAAAGCAGACGACGATGCTTACGTCATAGTTGAAAATTTGAAATATTTTTTATCTGGAAAGAATCCAGAAGATCTGGTGTATTACGGTCAAGTGTTTACGCGGTACGTCAAACCGCATGGCTATAATAGTGGCGGAGCGGGATACGTAGTTAGTACAGAAGCCTTAAAACGTTTTGGCCAGCGAAATTCATCACTGTGTCCAACAGACGGTGCAGTCGAGGATATTGATTTTGCTGTCTGTTTAAGCAAGTTACAAGTGTTCGCTGGTGATACGTTTGATGACACTGGGAGGAGTCGTTTTCACGGGTTAAATCCTATCGGGTTACTGTTTACAGCTCCACCGTGGTATTATGGGTATGATTTACACGGTGGGAAACGGGTGAGTCCTCGACATCGTCTTCCTTGATTCACCAAACTCTGTATTCGCGTCAATTTATAGTTCCATGATCGATTTTTAATGGATTGCAAATAGGTTTCTAGACAGTATGTGTGTATCGGGAACACTGAATCAATTTACACCATTCCAATTTTCAATCAGACATCTGTGTTTTGATGACGTCACTAATTGCGAAGGAACTTATGTGATGAAGCATATTTTGCGATTAGTGGCGTCATAAAACACTAAGTTTTAGAGGAATTGCAGGAACCACAGGATACACATAACAAATTTAGAAAACCTCTTTTTAATCAGTTTAACTCCGTGTTTCATATTTCAAATCTAATATTCGGGTGATTGACAGAAACTAATTAGAAACTCGTTTCTGAACAGTCTCCATGACAACATTTGTAGAAACTGTTGGGGGCAAACAAGCATATTTTAGCGGCCGATCGCGGCGAATTTTGAAATCGCTCAAAAATATAGTTCGTTTGCCCGCCGACTTTTTACCTCCGTACGAATCCCCGGCATCAAAAATGTTTAAAAAGACAGTCGCGTCATTTTTCGGGAGTTGATTTGAGTCTTTAATGTTTGTAAATAGTCTTCAGAAGTACTAGAAATATATGGAAATTCTTCAAAAAGACCTCAAATTAGGATTTTAGTATCCCATTTCTCTCTCCTAACCTGTCTCTTTGAACTTTTAACAACTAAAATGATAATTCATGAATTGTTCTTCTTTCAGGGAATATCTCGTCATGCTATTTCATTCCACTACATGAGAGCCCATGACATGTATATAATGGATTTCGCTTTACATCATTTAAAGGCACACGGATACACCTTTCCACCATACAGAGAGAACGATAATGGCGAGGAAAAAAGTCCATATTCTTAAAAAGAGGCGGAAAGCTAATGATTACAAGCGTATGGGACATCCCTTCACCTTCTGAAACAATAACGTCCGAGATCCCCCGCCCCCCATCTCCAAAATGATCATAGTCAATCAGTTGTTACAAACGTCAGAGACGCCCCCCTCCCCACCCCCATCCACTCTTCCAAATGATCACAATTCATCGGCTGTTACAGACGTCAAGACTACCACCTTCCAGGTTCAAATATCGTGATATAGAAAATAAACTCTGTTTAACGTTATGTAGTATCTCGTTCATTGTTTCTGCTTATCAGTATTTGAAAACCGTCACATGAGGCCCAAGATCGAAGACACATTGTCAATTTTTATATTGACAGGGCAAAGTAATCAAAGCAGTTTGGCCATGAAGCAGATTAGTTGGGTTATTCTCAATCAGAAACAGTTATATTTTTGTCTATCAAAACCAAATTGTTGATTTTCCGTTGTTATACATATGATACACAATATGGCGATGTCATTCCCTTATCAAACTCTAGAGTTTACCAACATGAGTGAATATATAGGTGCTGTAACAGGAAAAGTACATAACTCGCATAGCTCTCTAAGAACCAATACATTGCAGGAAGGGGATTCGTGGGCTGAAAGGGGCTGGATTTCTGAATTCTCACCAACCTTCACAAAATGCCATGGAAAATTGCCCTCTCTAGAAAAGTGGTTTGCAGACCAATAGTAACCCCACTAATATAAACGTCTACCTTTTTTCTCCAAAATATTTGTCAGAATGCTCTAAATTCAATTTTTCTAAAATTTTCTTGAGAGAACCCTGTAAGACGTTCTATGAGAGGCTTGCTACTATGACACCATCACAGAGTAGCCAAAATTAGGAATCAGCCTCAATAGTTGTCCCCCCATTGATTCAGTCTGCGCCCTATTTGTACCCCCAGTCTCAGAAGGCTGGCGCCGCCACTGGTTTAACTATTACAAACTTTATGTTATTACCTTAACTGCAATGGATCCTTCTTGTATATCGGAATGCAACGAATTGATTGGATTGTACGCCAGAGAAAACAGCCAATCATAGCACCCAACAAACTGTAAACATCATGTTTCTATTGGACTTTGATTGGTTGTATTTGGTAGCGTACAATCCAATCAAATCGCTACATTTACCAACTTCCGTCTGTAGAAGCTGTCAAGATATAAGGCGAAATTCGCAATAGAATAATATTGTGAAGGTGCCTTATAGCAGGCAATATTACTCAGAAAGCATTGAAGTGATCCGACCCGACCATATCATCGAATTTAATTTGGAAATGATGAGCCGCTCCCGTTATAGTTGAAGTTATTCAATTAATCTTATATTGCAAATTGCATACTTATAATATAGCCTACCGTTCGCGATGGTTTGCGCTCTTTAGTCGGACCGCAGTGCCATTAATGTCTATATGGAATAAGTGGATTATGGTGATAACAAAGATAGACTTTTCGGGTTTGGAAGGCAAACTTAGGGGAAAAGAAAGATAGTAGACCTATGTGGAGTTAGATTGATTAAAATAAAGCTAGGAAATTTTGCTTAAATAACTTAGCCATATTGCAATTGCATTATCTGATTATATACCATCGAGCTGTAATAGTTTTCGACGCTTGTTCGTTTTCTAGAGTAGTCTTCGGCTGTTGAATGAGTTTCTCGGTAATGAAAAGACGCACCTGCCAGATGGCGCCATTGATAGTCTTACCGGAAGTAACTATTGTTATAGTAAACAAATCAAATGAAATTAGAAAAATAAAGAAATAATTGATCGAACCATTGACAACTGTAAGTAAATTATTGTTTTCGTCCATGGCAATTCAAGATCTGTTTATTTTCCAGCAGCTATTATTGAGCAGTAGACGATAGCCGCAGGGAACGATTCTATTATATAGTTAATAGATACTGTATCATACTACACTCTCAGTCTGACGACATTGAATGAATGATTGGGTTTTGAATTGATATTTTTTTTCATTGCCTTGCCATATGCGAATGTCTTTGGGTCCATAAAAATAAAATTTTTAATGACTGGGCAGCAGACGATTAAATCTACTACTCTCTGTCGACATTGATGATTGGGTTTTGAATTGATATTTTTTCTGTTATTTCATAGATATTCAAAATAAACTATTAAATTGCTTGCCAGTTATTGATTAATGATTATGAATTAATGATTTTATATTTGAACAAAGCTCACTTACTTCTAAATATCTAAATTCTTAAAGAATTAGATGATAAGTGAATTCATTTCAAACACTTGGACTTGAGAAACTTCAGGACCTATATCGTGGGTGATCACTTGAAACCTCATATAACGGTATATGACACGAAATAAATCTTTGAGAAAAACGCAAAAAACTATTTGTACGCGTATTTTGTTAAAAATTTTTTATTATTTTTCTTACCCCTATACGTGGTTTTCATTCATTGAAAATATAAACCTCGCATAACAATTAGATTACTCCGGACTATTGAACCAAAAACTCGTATAATAATACAGTATAATTCATCTGTAGAAAAGGAACATTGGACCTCGTATAATAATATATTTTACGAGGTTTTAAATCTGACTGTTTATATATGTGTTATTTCATTAGTGCTTTTTGAGTTATTTACAATCAAGCTAAGAATACGAGGTTTTGATCACAAGATCCACGCTTTTACGAGCTTTTGAACGGTACCAAAAAGTAAAAATGACCAAATATGGCATATACAAGGTTTCAATAGGTTACCCACGATATTGCTAATCAACTATTATTTTCAGACCAAAAGAAACAAGTGTAATAAATATGAGTCATAACCAGTATCATCACAATTACCAACATTGGCAGCAGCCTAGTCAATGTTATGGTAACTATGGTAACTATTACCAGAATAATGTCTTCTCAGTACAGGCTTGGCAGGTAAAAGGAATTTTATTTTTAAGAAATTATCCCTTAACATTTAAAGAACAGAATGATATTATGAACATGTTGGTTTGATCAGCTGATAGGCAGACATTCGACAATCCTTGTATTATCAGTTTGAATATATATCATACAAGGTTTTTGTTTTTATTGTCTTTATATACAAACACCTGAACAACCAGTCTCGGATATTTAGAATACCAGAACCATAATTTGGACATGATTAAATAATGTCTGCCATTCAACAATCATTACTGAAATGAAATGAATTGATTTTTACGACTTATGCACCATGTGGGCTAATAAAGACGGAACATTCATTTCTGTGATGTTGTAAAGTGCCAGTACAACTTTCACGGTAGGCTGTTTGGTTGACAGGATCTTTGAGGACTTGAGATTTAATACTTGTAGAGGGTTGACTGAGGGGTTAGAACACCAATCACTACAGGAGGGGCGAAAAGTGTCAAGGGTCAGAAAGGGTCAAGGGTCCTTTCTTTTTCCACTTTGAATTATTGTATCTTGAGTAAACTCATTGGTTGGAGGACCCAGAGCTACTCACTCATACCGCGTATCTGTGTAAAATATAGTTAATTCTTTTCCTGAAAACAAGCTGTCTGATATACTGATTAATAAACTGATCAAATAATATTCTATAAATAGATACTCTGGTATATCCTACTATCGTACTGTTACTATAAATAGTTTATGACTCATTCTAATATGTAATTATTGTATTCCTGCTCCAGCAAGTAGTCCTGTTCCAACTTGGCTTTATCAGTAAATATACTAAAACATCCTGCTTCATTATATAATTACCGAACCTGTACCAAAGAGTACGACACTATACTGAAGAAATAAAAGCTAAATATTCCTGTTATTTTTAGGCGTTTCAGTTTAACTCTGTCACTGATTTACAACTTGTCTTTACGCAGATTATGAACCAAAATCAAGAAAATGTGGTAAGATTTTATTATTTGGAATATTTTTATCTGCAAGGATTTAGGATGCGCTGTAGCACAGGTGGTTAGACTGTCATTTACATTGTTACGCTAAAACAATTAGTGGTTCTGATGGGCCTTGAATATGTTATCTTTTTCACATGTGTAAGGATGACCTGAGAAATATTTATAATAATGGAATATATTTGAATATGTCATCTTTTCTCATCAGGGACTAATCTGAGAAAGATCAATTCCAAGGGGTTTGGTAAAGGAACAGCTGTGAACCTAAGTTGTTATTCTTGTTAAAATTGATTTTTTTTATTACTCTTCCCTTAATGTTTTGAAATCCAGAAAGACTAAGCTCATGCTGTTGTCATGGCAAAATTCCCCTCATTTCATACAGCATAGTGTTGCTTATCTTCCTGAGCTCAATCAGTTTAGTAATCAGTAATATTTAATATTTAATTTAATATTCTCGATAAAGATCTCTAGATGTTTATATTCTAGAAAAGAAATGCCATCCAAGCTGAAGATTTAACTAATGTTTTAAACAATACACCCAGTATCAAAAACTATTTTAAAAGTAAGTAATGTTTGAATAATGACCTGTCACCTTGTAGTAGATATAATATTAGTCCAGTAGTAAGTATTGTTTAAATAATGACCTGGCACCCTGTAGTAGATATAATATTAGTCCAGTAATAAGTAATGTTTAAATAATGACCTGTCACCTTGTAGTAGATATAATATTAGTCCAGTAGTAAGTATTGTTTAAATAATGACCTGGCACCCTGTAGTAGATATAATATTAGTCCAGTAGTAAGTAATGTTTGAATAATGATCTGGCACCTTGTAGTAGATAAAATATTAGTCCAGTAGTAAGTATTGTTTAAATAATGACCTGTCACCTTGTAGTAGATATAATATTAGTCCAGTAGTAAGTATTGTTTAAATAATGACCTGTCACCTTGTAGTAGATATAATATTAGTCCAGTAGTAAGTATTGTTTAAATAATGACCTGTCACCCTGTAGTAGATATAATATTAGTCCAGTAGTAAGTATTGTTTAAATAATGACCTGTCACCCTGTAGTAGATAAAATATTAGTCCAGTAGTAAGTATTATTTAAATAATGACCTGTCACCT